GGAGGACTTTGTGGATTGGTATTGGACATATGGGTTGATGTTGGACTTGTGGGCTTGGGCAGCACTGGGTTGGGATATTTTCTTGATGCGCACTTAACCTTTATATAAAACTCTTATAAATGAGTTTCTGTGGATTTGTTTCTCTAAAGTACCCCGACTAACACAGGGGTGAAGTGACGATGGCCTCTTCCACTGGCTTGATTGATGCTTGGTTTTGGGTTGTTAGAATAGCACCATGTCTCATGACCAGTAATGACCTCGGGGGAAAAAACGTCTGGGTCACTTGGGACTGTTCTTTCAAAGCACGGCATGTTTCCAGTTGAAGTTCTTTTTGCTAGTCAGTCAGAACCGAAGGCACAAATGTTACAACGACCCTTTGCATTCCCAAATCTGTTGTTAAAATTTGCCAAACCGAACTCCAAAATGGTCAGATAACTGCCCCATCTCTTCAATGGTTCATCGTCGGTCTTTGAGCATAGGTGCAGAAATTTTGTCAACATTTTTTTGTTGTTTGGGAAGTTGACAGATGTCCAGAATGAGGGTTGTCATCAATCAACATTTCACCTTTTTTGAAATGATAAAACCACTCGTACACTTGAGTTTTTCCCGGAGTGCTGTCCTTGTAAGCTGTGCTCAACCTCGCAACAGATTCTGCAGCATATTTCCCGAGCAGGAAACAAAATTTCACAGCTGCACATTGTTCTCTTAAATTGGCACCACAAAAAAACGAGGTTTGAGAGAAATTGCTTTTATGAAAAAATTCACTGTGACCAGAGAGAACCTTCGCTGGGTACACCACTGGGTGCACTAACTCAGAGTGAATTGCTGGATGCTTGCCTAGTAGGAAAAATGCATACTAAGAAATCTCAGCCCAGCGGAAATTTTTACCATTTTTTTTTTTTGGTGGGGGGTACCCCTTGGTGTATAGCACCACTATCCTTAAGCAAGAGGAGACTTGGTGGGGTCGTGGGTCAGTTACATGATAGGCTACTCACAGCTAGCTCAGTAGTTCAAACCCACCCTAAACATTTACACCCTCAGAAACCCACACAGGTGGGCAGTTCTACTGTGTCCTATTGGGTCGCTATGTGTTGCAGTCAACTTGATGGCAATGAATTTGTTTTTTTGTAGTGGTTCTTAACTGTGGGGAGACTGATGGCTATGATGAACCGCTCTTACATACATGGCTTGAGTGAGTTTAGAGACAGCAGTGAGAAGAAAAATTAGAGAAAGCTTTAAATTCTACCTTTGCTTCTCCCTTGCATTGCTTTGGGACAACCTTGCCTGCCCCTTCACTACATACATAGTAAGCACCAACTCTGGAACTTGGTTTATGCAGATTCTTATCAAAGAAGCACAAAAAACGAAACTGGGTGAGGCAGTAAAATCAGGTGCCCATGGGCATTGCCCTCTTCCTTCCCTCTTTTTACAACCTAAAGAGACCAACAATGCTTTCCTATTAAGGAAAGAAGAACCCCCACAAAAAAGCTCTCAGGGACCCCTCTGAGAACTGGCCAGGGTTTTGCTCATTTTAAATTATCTAGTGTAGTTGAACAAACTCAGTTTTTACTTTGTTTTTTTCCAATAGTTTTAGTGATATAAAATTCTCAAACTCAGTTAAAAAAAATAAACATCTTGAATATAATTTTTTTCTAGAGTTATCTGTCTCATACAATTTAAATATATTAACAAATATGTTTTTAATGTAGGTTTTCTCAGGAACTACAATTAAAAGTACAGAAAGATGGGAGAAATATTTCTTTATCTAAAAAATCCCAAAATAGGAAGAAGGAAAAGGAAAAAGATGATTCCTTAGGTGAAGAAAGAAAAACACTTACGGTGCAGGTAAACATCTCTGTCTTAAACATTGTATTCTAAGTTAACTTACCTAATTGTCCTTTTAGGAACCCTAGTGGCGAGGTGGGTTAAACGTTGGGATTACTAACGATAAGATCAGCTGTTCAATTTCACTAGCTGTTCCCCAGGCGAAAGTGAGTTTTTCTATTCCCATAAAAAATTACAGGCCTGGAATCCCACATGGGTAGTTCTAGTCTGTCCTACAGGCTCACAATAAGTAGGAAGAGACTAAAAAGGGCTTGAATTTGAGAATTATCCTTTAAGGAGCCTTGGTGACACAGTTTGTTAAGCATGGGCTACTAACCATAAGGTTGACAATTCAAACCCACCAGGCGCAACTTGGGAGAAAAATGAAACTGTCTGCTCCCATGCGATGTACAGTCTCAGAAACCCTAAGGAGCAGTTCTACTCTGTCTCATAGGGTGGTTCTCAGTCAAAATTGATTTGATGGGTTTGGGTTTGAATTACCCTTTTTTTTTTTAATTTACCCTTTCTTGGGTAAGTTTTTTTGAGTGATGAGCAAGCTGTTGATCTTTAACTTTGTTATGAAAAAGTATCTTTACTAGCAATTTCATATTTTAAAGCCTAACATGAAATGTATTAAGTGCTTACTGTACAATAATATTTTTCAGGAAATCACATTCATCTAGGGATAGCTATATATATGGTCATATTTGCACACATGTACATGGACACAAAAATATGCACATGCTTTCTTCCTTGAAAACATGAGAGAAAAATATTATTTCATGATTTTAAATAGAATATTTTAAAATTAAGAATTCGATAAAATTAGAATTAGAAACAAATTTAATTTGTTTTAAATTTAGTTTTCCTGCTAAGTTATCTAAGATCTGTTTGTGATAAGGCCTATCAAATCTACTACACACCTATGCCTATTTTCTTTATTCCCCGCCTAAATATGTAAGAACAAAAGCGTACATCTGTGTTTTTTTTTCAAGTAGTCATTCTTGGTTACTCTATTATGTTTCCCTGCCCCCTCAGGTGGGAATGTATACAAGGATAAAAATTAAGTATGTTACTAGGTTTCCAGTCATTCAAACATGTATGAGTTTATTCCAAACAAGATGTGTTTAAATATATCTCTGTGATTAGTAGATGGATGCAGATTCAGTTCTCTCTGTAAGATACTTCTCATAGTCTCATTAGGATGCCTTCAACAAAAGGTCCAATTCAAACAGTAGCTTCTGAGATCTGCTGGCCTACTTAAATTCAAGGCAGAGATCTTGGCTCCAAAGGTTATGACAGCTGTTTTGGAGATTCCCAAGGAGTAATTGTGACAGGCCTTTCTGAAGGACACAAGGCAAACGTGAGGGTGTATTCCATTTAAATGGAATACTGCATTGGTGAGAAAAGTGCCAGGAAATTGCATTGAGGAACTTTTCCCATGATGAATGATGGGAAACATTCCTCAAGGGTAGCAAGGGTGTCCAAGGAAAACCTCATTGGGAAACCTTACTCCAATAATCCTACAGCCCTGATCTTGCCCCTTCAGACTTTTTTTTCTGGTTCCTAGAACTCAAATGACATTGAAAAGGAATGTGTTTTGAGCTCCTTGAGGATGCCACAACCACTCCTTGAAAAATGGAGTAAATGAAAGACCACAGAATTTGGTGGGAAAGGGTTAGAGAGATGGAAACACACTTGTCAGAAGTGTATAGACCAGAGATTCTCAACCTTCCTCATGCCGCGACCCTTTCATACAGTCCTGCATGTTGTGTTGACAACCCCCCCAACCATACAATTATTTTTGTTGCTACTCATAACTGTAATTTTGCTACTGTTATGAATCGGGAAGCCCCTGCGAAGGGGTCATTCAACCCCACCAAGTGGTCATGACCCACAGCTTGAGAACTGCTGGTATAGACTTAGGTGGAGGATATATTGGAAAACAATAGTTTTGCACTTAATTATTTTTGTTTACTAAAAGTTTCTTTGATTTTGTAGCAATACTTTTTGACATGTGTATGTGTGTATAGTGCTAGAGTAGATATAAATTGTACCGCCATTCTTTTTGCATTTTCATAGTAAATGTCTGCACAAGAATCACAGGATTAATTTTAATTCATTGAGAGACTCATGAAAACAGGGTACAAAAGGTGTTTTCTATGGAACTCTGCTCTAGTTGACCAGGACTTTGTAAGAAGAGGTGATTTTTTTTCATTCTTAGATACTTAACCTTATTAATATTTTTGTTAATCATCAGGATACCAATACTGATCCCAAAATTAAGGATTCTAAAGTATTTAAAATAAAAGGGTCAAAAATTGATGGAGAAAAAGTTGAAAAAGGCATTCGAGGGTCAAATGTCAGCTGTCTCCATGAGAGTGGGACAAGCCACATCAAAGTAGTGCCTTCAACAAGCCTCGGAGACTGCAGCAGTGGCAGTGTGGATCACCCAAGGAACCCAGGCACGGCCATCCCTCCACTTACGCACAATCTTTCTACCATGGCTTCTGATATTAACTCTGGAATGGGAACTGTCCCAGGAGTACAGAATTATAGGTATGAATTAGCAAAGTAAGACAAAACTAAACAAAAACGCATCTGTTTAAAATGTATCTGCAGATTGCTAGTGTGTGTCAGTTCAGCCACATTACCTTACACTCAGGCTTCATTCAGGTCAGATTGCTCTTTGAAGAGATTTTTTTGGCCTACATGATGCTAGAGACTTTGTTTAGGAAGAGGGGTTCATGTTGTTAGGGTGCCATCAGGTCTGTTCCGGCTCAGAAGGACCCTATGTACAGCAGAATGAAACACTGTCCACGCCGGTGCCGTCTGCACAGATGTTGTTATGTTGAAACCCGTGTTGCAGTCACTGTCTCAATCCTTCTTGTTGAGGTTTTCCCCCTTTTTGGCTGGCCCTCACTTTACAAAGTATGATATTTCCAGGTGGTGCAAATAGTTAATGCACTTGACTGCTAGCCAAAAGGTTTGAATCCACGAAGAGGTACTTATAAAGAAAAGCCCAAAAATATTTTGACAAAAAATAAAAATCAGCCTTTGAAAACCCTATGGAGTGCTCTTCTACTCTGATGTACATGGGGTCACCATGAGCTGGAATTGACTCTAGGAACTGATTTGGTTTGGTAACAGTTGAGGGCAGAAGGGGAGGCATGAAGATAATGGTACAGGGCAGAATGTGTCACCAGATCTCTGTGCATTATATGCTTGAGAATAGGTAGTACATTCTAGTCAAATTTTAAGGTACTTGATAATGTGTCTTTTGATTTTGTGCTGGAAAAAATAATAATTGTTGATTTTAACATAATTTTTTAACAGAGTGGATGAGAAAACCAAGAAATACTACATTCCATTTGTTAAACCAAGTAAACATTCTCCATCAGGCGTTTTTAACATTAACATGGCCACATCAGTAAGTGATTTTTTGTGTGTGTGTGGGGAGTGAATATTTGTGTTTTATAACCCTGGTTTGTTTTGGAAGATTACTTGATCAACAGGTTTTTCAAAGTAGCTGGCTCAATACCATTTTGCTGGAATTGATGTCAGCTGTTTTCAGGCATTGCATAATCAAGGCTGGGTGGTCATTCTAGATCCTATTTCTGTTCATCCTTCCTTAGAAGAGACAAGCCAGAAAAGAGGCAAAGATTCAGTGAGGAAACGACCCACCTGAGTCTTTTAGAGGTGAATAAATACAGTGTCAAAAACATCTTTTATGTGTTTTACTCATCACTTTTCGGGTGACAAATATACAAATCTGATAGCTTGAATGAGCTATTTTATTTTGAAAAACCAATTTTCAGCTAATTATTTTGTAGCTGATTTTGAGCCAAAAACCCAAGCATTTGTTCTGTTAAAAGAGCAAACAGAAACATCTAAAAGAAACTCAAATACCAGCTATAAGACTCTTCAGTAGACTATCTGGGAGGTAGAAAGGCACAATGCAAGGCCTTTTCAATGGCTAAGTGTCCTTTGTTAGGTACTCCCATATTCTGAGAGATAACAGAAATAAGCTGTATTGGCAGAGAGAGTGAAATCTCTCTCAAAAAACAAGGATAATAATACTGATTTGCCTGTCATTTGGGCATTGGAGGACAATTTGTAAAGTTTTCAAGTTTCAATTTTAGTTAAATAAGTGGAGTTCAATATAAAATTATTACTTTGAGGGATTTTGCTTCATAATATAATTGCAGATTGTCAAAAACCAGACAGCAGTACCTGCTGGTGGTATATTCTTACCACTCACTGTCTAGGGATGTGAACATTTAAGCAGAACGTGAGAGCTTGGGCAGGAAAGTACTGTGTAAATACTTGAAAGACAATGTCAAATTTTAGTACTTCCACCAATCAACAGAAAAATGAGGAGTTTATTATTATTATTTACTTGGTTTTATTTTTAGAAGTTTATTATTGAGGGTAACAGGCTCTAGGTAAATTGTGAGTGATTCTCAGTTCTGGAGTCATAAATATCTGCCATTGATGGAATGGGACAAACCTGATTTCTACCTATCCTATGCCCTTGATTTCTTGGTCTAATTCTATGTCTTAGTCTCATTTACTATATATGCAGACTGAGTTTGGTGGAATAATTCCAGCAAGGCTAGGTTGACCTTAAACTGCCTCCAAGGGTGGAGGAAGAAAAATGTAGAGGGAAAAGATGCTGAAGATCAGCAGAATATGTTACAGAGTCTTCTTTCATGTGCTATAAATGCATTTATCAGGGAGTTATATGGAAACATTTTTTTTTAATTCAGGTAGGATAGACCTAAAGTCGTATTTTGCCTCTTACAGACGTGTTTTAATTTTATTCAGCTTTATTCTGAACTTAACATATAAATAATTGATGGTCTGTCCCACAGTCAGCCTTTGGTCTGATTTTAGCTGCTGATAATGAGCTTCTCGGTTGTGTCTTCCCATAGATATAGTCAGTTTGATTTCTGTGGATTCTATCTTGGGAAGGCCATATGTATCGTCTCCTTTTTCATGGTTGAAAAAAGCTATTTGCTATGAACACGTCATTGATTTGGCAAAATTCATGTGATCTTCAGCTTCATTTCTATCAACAAGACCCTATTTCCCAACTACTATTTCTCCCTCTTTGTTTACAACTTTTGCATTTCAATCTCCAGTTATGATAATACACCTTGATTGCATGTTTAATCAATTTCAGACTGAAGACATTGAAGACAAGGTGACCCTAATTGTATATGTTGAAATAGTAATTACTGATGATTATTTTTTTCTCGATGGTTGTAGGAGTAAAACAAGTTTTTGGCTGAAATATGACCCCCAAAAACTTGTTTTAAAAGTCTCCTTAAAGCTTCAGCAACAACCAAGAAAGTCCATGAGTTAGTTGGTCTTGGGGCAGCTCACCAAGCAAGTGCCTTCTTATCTTTCAGTCAGTATAACTGTAATGAATATGTGTCTGCCTCCCAGAAGAGTCTAGACTTAGTCTGCAATTACAGTTTAACTCTTGTGATTCTGTTAGAGGAGATAGTGTAATTCGATTGTCAGTATTTTAAATTTATTTATTTAATTAAAATGTTATAGAAAAATAATTTTTTCCCTTTAAACTATTCTTATTAGAGGGGGGTGGGAATAAAATAAAATACATGTGAATTATATGAAAGTAGAAATAAGAGTATAATGAATCTGCCTTATTCTACTATCCAGGTTTAACAATTATTAATTTATGGTCAGTTAGTTTAATCTATACTCACATTTGCTAAGGTATCTACTCCACCCAGATGTTTTTTGTTTTGTTTTTTAACATTTTATTAGGGGCTCATACAACTGTTATCCCAATCCATACACACATCAATTGTGTAAAGCGCATTTGTATATCTCTCTCCATTTAAACCCCCGACATTAGGTCCTCATTTTTCCCCTCCCTCCCCACTCCCCCCTCCCGCATGAGCCCTTGATAGTTTATAAATGGGTATTTTATCATATCTTGCCCTGTCCGACGTCTCCCTTCACCCACTTTTCGGTTGTCTGTCCCCCAGGGAGGAGGTCACACACAGTTCCATGTAATCGGTTCCCTCTTTCCTACCCATTCTCCCTTTACCCTCCCTGTTTTGCCACTCACACCACTGGTCCTATAGGGCTCATCCGTCCTGGATTCCCTGTATTTTCAGTTCCTATCTGTACCAGTGTACCTCCTCTGGTCTAGCCAGTCTTGCAAGATCGAATTCGAGTCATGGTAGTGGGAGCGGGGAGGAAACCTTTAGGAACTAGAGGAAGGTTGTATTTCTCATCATTGTTACATCGCACCCTGACTGGCTCATCTCCTCCCCGAGACTCCTCTGCAAGGGGATCCACCCAGATGTTTTAAACCAAAACATGGACATCATTTCAGATATAAAGAACATACTTTCTATTCACTATTCTATTATTACCAATTCTTTTTAAAAAAGGATTTATTGGTATATATTATTACCAATTCTCAATTGTTGAGGGCTTGAAGAGATTTAGAAGGCTTTTTGCTCTCCCTTGTGGATTTTTTGTTTTGCTTTGCTTGGTTGTACATATAGGGCAATTAGGTTGGAGTCTCATTGACTTAGAAGGGTTTGGGGAGGTAAAGAATTGTGGGAGTCAGTCAGAGACAGGAGTAAAATGAAGCAGTGAACTAGAATGGTTTTTGAGAAGGAGCTAAGTTTGATGTCCAAGAAGACAGTATCATCTGACTCAGAGGGACCTAACAAAGACACACATAACAAAAAGAGTAATGAAGTTATAATGTAAATGTCAAAAACAAGATAGGAGGAGATGTAATATATAAGTCAAGATGAGCTGTTCAAAACTAAGGTAGATAACAGCAACTATATGTTAAAATTGGTTAAGTGTTGTAAGGCCTGATCTTGCTGCTACTTATCTTTGACCTTTTACTGCTTAAGAATGAAGGTTGGCAGTGGGAACTGGGGAATATGCATAGTAACCAAGTTATCTACTTGTTGGTAATTCTCATCAATTTAATGAGGATGAGGTTTTAAACAAGTGGATGAAATAGTTTTGTGTTCTCTTCAACAAGTGGTGCTGGAAAAAATGGATATCTACCTGCAGAAAAAAGAAGCAAGACCCTTACCTCACTCCATGCACAATAATAAACTCAAGGTGGATCACAGACCTTGAGGTAAAACCCCAAACTATTAGGACCATCAATGAGGGAATTGGGACAAACCTGAGACCTTTGGTGAAGGGAAAACATAGGCTATCAGCAATAGGGAAGGACACAAATACAGATTAGGCACAAATTAACAAGTGGGATACACTGAAGATAAAACACCTGTGTACATTGAAAGAATTCATCAAGAGAGTAATAAGAGAGAGAGCCCACAGACTGGAAAAACATCTTTAGTAATGACACATCAGACAAAGGTCTTATTACTAAATTCTACAGTGCTCTGCTACCTTACAAAAAGAAAAAAACAAATTGCCCACTGAGGAGGTGGGCAAAGGACTTGCAAAGAAGTTTCACAAGGGCAGAAATCTGAATAGCCAATAACCATATGAGAAAATGTTCCTGATGATTAGCTATAAAACAAATTAAAACAACTATGCGATACCATCTAACACCCTCAAAATTAGCCCAATTCAAAAGATCAGAAATTAACAAGTGTTGGAGGGGCTGAGGCGAGATAGGAACTCTCATCCACTGCTGGTGGACCTATAGGTATATACAGCCATTATGGAAATCAATTTGGTGATATCTAAAACAGATGGAAATTGAGCTACCATATGACCCAGCAATTCCCCTACTGGGCATACACCCAGAAGAGGCAAGAAACAAACAATGGCCAGACATCTGTGCTCCAGTGTTCATCATGGCACAATTCACAATTGCAAGGAGTTGGAAACAACCCAAATTTCCATCAACAGATGAATGGATCAAAAAATGGTGGTATATACATGCAATAGAGTACTATGCATCCCTTAAAAAGCAGTGATGAATGCATGAAGCACATCACCACATGGGAAGAACTGGAGGAAATTATGCTAAGCAAAGTAAGCCAAGCACAAAAGGATAAGTACAACAGGAGTCCACTAAAGTAAGCTTAAAAATGTAAAAGGAGCACAGAGGTAAAGCTACTATATACATACATTCCAGGGGCCACACCCAATTCAGGGACACATATGGCAGCCAACTAAAAAGGAGAGGAAAAGAAAAAAGGGAAAAAAAGACATGGGTAGCGGGGGGAACATGGCACTAACCCACCCAAGGGGAGGGTGTTGTTTATATCTCCATAAGAGAGGGTCAGAGGAACCAGACTTCAACCTGGTGCACCAAGATGTGAATGCAACATACCAGCATGAAGCAAGGAACCAATAGAGATGTCTGCGGGGCTGGCCCTAATCCCAACTACGTGGACAACCCCCTTCCAGAAGAATGCACTACAGAGGACAGCATGGAAGCTACAGCTCAGGGTGAGGGGTATGTCTGATCTGAGCACACAGGAGCAAATGAAGAGTGAAGGAAAGAGAGTGGAACACATTCTGACCCACCAACCCCCAGGACTATATTCCAGCTCCGAGCACCAAATGCACAGAGAAGACCATAGGGCCGACCCCATCACAAGATAAGAAGTCACTCACTGACCCATATTGCTACAAGGGACACACTGGAGACACAGTGCAGTAATTGTGCCCGATCTGACCCCACCACACTGGGGTGAAACACTAAGGGCGTGTAACAGAGCAGCAAGCGGAGCAAAGCAATGAAGTCCCCAGTGAGTACCAAAAATAGACTTTGGGGCCAGGGCATGGCACCCCATCAGACTCTACCAGAAAACATGACTAAATGTCAACAAACACACCTGGAACTATTTATAGGGTTTTTTTGTCATTGGTTTCTTTTGTAGTTGTTGTTTGGTTCTTTGGGTTTTTTTTGTTTTGTTGTGCTCTGCCTTGTTTTTGAGCTTATTATTGTCTCTGCATGTCTATCTAGATAAGATTATTTGAGGGGGTAGGGACATGGGAGAGGGGAGGCGGGGAAAGGAAGTGGGTGTTACCAAATCCAGGGACAAGGAAACAACAAGTGATATGAAATTGATGGTGAGGAGGGTGTAGGATGCCTGGTAGGGCTTAATCAAAAGCAGTGTAACGGAGAGGAATTACTGAAACCCGAATGAAGGCTGAGCATGATAGTGGGACAAGAGGAAAACAAAAGGAAATAGAGGAAAGAACTAGGAGGCAAAGGGCATTTATTATTATATTTTTTAACATTTTATTAGGGGCTCATACAACTGTTATCCCAATCCATACACACATCAATTGTGTAAAGCGCATTTGTACATCGTTTCTCAAAACATTTTCTCTCCATTTAAACCCCTGACATTAGGTCCTCATTTTTCCCCTCCCTCCCTGCTCCCCCCTCCCGCATGAGCCCTTGATAGTTTATAAATGGGTATTTTGTCATATCTTGGGCAAAGGGCATTTATAAAGGTCTAAATATAGGCATGTATATATGTCAATATATTTTTATATAATGATAGAGTAGTTGATCTGTTTACATATATTTACATGTTAAGCATCAAGATAGCAGATGGACATTTGGCCTCTACTCAAGTACTCCCTCAATGCAAGAACACTTTGTTCTAATAACCTGGCATTTTATGATGCTCACCTTCCCGACATGATTGCTGAAGACAAGTGGGTGCATAGCTATCAAAAGATACAGTGTCAGGGGTCTTAAAGGCTTGAAGACAAACAAGTGGCTATCTAGCTGAGAAGCAACAAAGCTAAAGTGACCAGATTTTAACATTGGTAAAGCGGGACACCATTGATAAAACTCATATCCTGGCGAAATATCCACACGGCAGCCGAAAACTGTATACCCTAGCTTGTCATGCATTCTTTCCAAAAATCGGGACTTTTTTGAAACACTGTGGGACGCAGGACAAATTGTTAAAAATCAGGACTTTCCCGCCAAAAGCAGGACGTCTGATCACCGTAAACAAAGCCCATATGGAAGAGGCATACCAGCCTGTGTGACCATGAGGTGTCAATGGAATGAGGTAGCTGGCATCAAAGACCTAGAATAAAAAATCATATCAATGTGATTGAGGGGGAGTTCCGAGTGGAGACCCAAAGCCCATCTCTAGACAATTGGACATTGCCTTACAGAAGGGTCACAAGGAAGAGATAAGCCAGTCAGGGTGCAGTACATTACTGATGAAACATACAACTTTCCTCTAGTTCTTTAATGCTTCCTTCCCTCCACTATCATGACCCCAATTCTACCTTACAAATCTGGCTAGACTAGAGCATGTACATGGGTACAGATAAGAGCTGGAAACACAGGGAATCCAGGACAGATAAACTCTTCAGGACCAATAATGAGAGTAGCACGAAACCAGGAGGGTGAGGGGAAGGTGGGGGGAGAAAAGGGGAACCGATCACAATGATTACATATAACCCCTCCCTGGGGGGGATAGACAACAGAAAAGTGGGTGAAGGGAGACATCAATCAGTGTAAGACATGAAAAAAAAGTGTAAATTATCAAGGGTTCGTGAGGGAGGGAGGGAGGGTGTGGGGTGTGTGTGTGAAAAATGAAGAGTTGATACCAAGGGCTCAAGTAAAAAGAAAATGTTTTGAAAATGATGATGACAACAAATGTACAAATGTGCTTGATACATGGATGTATGTACATATTATGATAAAAGCTGCATGAGGCCCTAATAAAATGATTTAAAAATACTTTTATGTTTATAATGTTCTCTACATTTTACTTTATTCTAGCCCTTCAGTCTCACAAATTGTAAGACATGAGCATAGTAGTTACATACAGGAAAAGCTAGCTTACCTTGAGGCTAATTAATTTGTGTTAACCATTCTAACATTATTAGGTGACTAGTGAAAAGAGCCTCCTTCAGGCAAATAAGAAACGAAAAGAAAAAGAAGGGATTAAGACAGACGTCCGTTTGCCTGAGCTAAATTATAATCATCTTCCCGAACTAAGAGCCTTGGAAGGCATAGGTAAGTTTATGATGCTTATACTTTTTTCAGCACTTTTTGTTTATATTACGTAAAATTTATACCAAATAAGCTAACAGAACATTAAAAATTAATAGGAAGTTTATATATTTAAGTGTACAAATATGTGTATGCATGTATAAATACATACTGAGAAATGAGGATATAGAATATGACAAACTAACAAAAATGTCTAATTTTTTCTCTGTGATTATGGTTATTTTTTATCTAGCTCGAAATTCCAGGCTATCAAGGAAAGAGAACAAAATTCTTTCAGAATCTCGAATTCCATCACTGGCTGCTATTGACCTCTACACCCCCAGTGCTGCATTGCATCAGGTACAGACAAACTCTTTGCAAGTTGAATAGAACTTAGGTCTCTCTCATAAGCCCAAATTAAACCCAGTGCCATTGAGTTAATTCCAACGTATACTGACCCCATAGGACAGAGTAGAACTGTCCTCCCCACCCCCCACCGTTTATTTATTTATTCTTAAATCATTTTATTAGGGGCTCATACAACTCTTATCACAATCCATACATACATCAATAGTGTAAAGCACATTTGTGCATTCGTTGCCCTCATCATTCTCAAAACATTTCCTCTCCACTTAAGCCCCTGGCATCAGCTCCTCATTTTCACCCTCTCTCTCCCCGCTCCCCACTCCCTCATGAACCCTTGATAATTTATAAATTATTATTTTGTCATATCTTGCCCTGTCCAACGTCTCTCTTCACCCACTTTTCTGTTGTCCGT